CGGCCTCTCGGACCCGGACGGCCTGGCCGTCGAGGAGCCCGCCGCCACGCCCGCGGCGGCCGCGCTGCGCGGGGCCGCCTCGCCGCGGGGCTTCTCGGTGGGCGTCGCGGCCGCCGTGGCCGGGGGCCTCGGCCGCTGCTCCTCCCTCCCGCCCAGACCTCCAGCATATTGTCAGGAGGGACAAAAAAACACACAGACACAATGGATCGTCGATTCCCAGAAAATGTGCGAAAATATGGGAAGTGGGGGGGAAGACGGAAACCCAGAAAATATGGGAAAACATGGGGAATCTTTTTATTTGTGTGTATTTATTTGTGTGTCCCAGGGCCCCTTCATATTGAGCAGGAGCTTGGCCTGGATCGCCAGCAGGAAGCTCGAGCACCTGGACAGTACCGAAGCCGGAGGGTCTTGTCGTGCTGGGCCCTGGGAGGCGGTGTACTCGTTCGACGTCTCGCCAGCGTGTCGGGCAGGCACTGTTTTTCTAGATTTGGCAAACAACGATTCTGGGGTAAATCAATCATGTAATCGATCACCTGGTCGCAGGCCACCTAGGTGGGGTCAGAGTTTTTTGGGGTCGGGGGATCGCACCGCATCGCATACCAGCCTGGAACACATCCCTATCCCTATGCTGGGCACCTCCTCATCACGATGCCAATCTTAGGGATTCCCTTATTTTTTGAGGGCGAATCCCTAAGATTGTCATCGCCTTTTGGCGTGTCAATCTTAGGGATAGGGATACGTTCGAGGCTGGTAAATCGCCGATGCATCGGCGATGCGGCTCGAGATGGAGCCTGGACGTGGCGCCCCGCGAGTCGTTGGAGGGTCCAAGATGGCCTCGGCGAGGAAGCCAACAGCACTGATTTGACTAAGGCTTTGGACCAATCATGGCCTCCTGGGAGGGGAGGGGCCGATTAGACCCCCCTGTCTTTCATCGATCACCTCCAAGACGGCCCCGAGATGGCGACCTTCCCTGCCGATGCATCGTCCGGCTCGATCGTCTCGACCCGATCGGGGGGGCCCCTCCCTCAAGGGAGGAACAACCATCCGCACCGGACAGTTGGCGTTTACTAAACGGCCTTGGGCGTGTACCAAACAGCCCTGCCCTGTTCGATTCCTTCAGTGGGGGCGTTTAGTCAACGGTTTCGCGTGTCGGGGTGGTTATTTCAGGGGCAGCGATAGGGGGGGATAGGCATAGGGGGTGATGGATCGACCCCCAATCGCCCATGGATCGCCGATATGGGCCCGATGGCCCCAACCTGCCCAGGAAGGTGCGGATTCGCTATCGGAGGCCTATCGCCGATCCATCGGCGATGCCTCGCCGGTTCCAGGTCGATGCATCCCCCTCCCTATGCCTCAGCCGCTCGCAGAGGGGGGTGAGGGGAGGGGGGAGGGCTTCTTAGAAGCACCCTGCTTCTTAGAAGGCGCGGGCCTTATCTATAGATGTAAGGCCGGCGCCTTCTAAGAAGCAGCCTCCTTCTAAGAAGCCCTCCCCCCTTCCTCCACCCCCTTGTGCGCGCCGCCAAATGCCAGCCCCCCCCTATCCTTACCCCTCGTGATTCTGGGGGTGGACTTTGGGCCCTCCGCGCCCGCGCACGGCCGAGGCCCGCAGGGATGCCGCGCCGCTGCTGGACGCGCCGGGCCCGCCGGGCTCCGTGGGCGAGGGGCCGGCGGAGCTGGCAGGCGCTGCCCTGGCCGGGGCGCAGAGGGAGGCCGCAGCGGCGGGGGGGGGGAGGGCGGGTCGGCCACGCGCGGAGGGTCGTCGTGCTCCTCGTCGTGCTCCTCCGCGTCGTGCTCCGCGTCGTGCTCCGCGTCGTGCTCCTCCTCGTCGTGCTCCGCGTCGTGCTCCTCCTCGTCGTGCTCCGCGTCGTGCTCCTCCTCGTCGTGCTCCGCGTCGTGCTCCTCCTCGTCGTGCTCCGCGTCGTCCTCCTCGTCGTGCTCCGCGTCGTGCTCCGCGTCGTGCTCCGCGTCGTGCTCCGCGTCGTGCTCCGCGTCGTGCTCCCCGTCGTGCTCTGCGTGGTGCTCCTCCTCCCTCCCCCCGCAGAAGCCTCAGGCAGCCCTTGGAGCCTTCGGAGGCCTCCCCCGCAGGTCTCCCGAGGGCCAGACGGCCAAAGCCGCAGCGAAGAGGATCGGCCACGCGCAGAGGGGGGAGGGCTTCTCAGCAGTACCCCTGCCTCTTAGAGGGCGCGGGCCTGATCTGTCAGTAGGCGTGAGGCTGGTGCCTTCCAAGAAGCAGTCTCCTTCTCAGAAGCCTTCCCCCCCCCTCGTGCGCGCCGCCAGGCTTGGACCGGATGCCGGATGTCGTCGGATCAGGTCGGCGTTTGGACGACACTTGAAGGAAGTATGCGGGGAGGTATGCGGGGAGTCTGGAGGAAGGGGTGAAGGGGGGTGGTCGAAGTCTCGAGGGAGCCCCGTCGGAAGCACATTTCTGGTGGGGCCGCGGAGGTCCACGGCGGCTCCCATGGAAGGCTCACCCGAAGGCCACACCGAGGGGGGACTCGAGCCAGAGAGACTCAGGAGGAGAAGAAACACACAGACACAATGAATCCTCGATTCCCCAGAAAGTATGGGAAACTATGGGAAGTGGGGGGGAAGAGAGAAGCCCAGAAACTATGGGAAAATATAGGGGAATCTTTTTATTTGTTTGTCTTTATTTATGTGTGTCCTGGGGCCCCTTCAGAGACGTAGGTAGAAGAGGGACAGCTCGTATCTTGGATCCGCGCGGGTTTCTCGGATCCGCGGCGGAGCCCCTGTCGCGCTTCGCGCGCCAGGACGGGGTATTTTGCGTCGATCCAAGGAGTCCCTGTCCAGTGCGTAGGAGGGGGGCCGCAGCGAGGGGGCCATTGAGGGGGAGGAGCCGAGTCGGTGTCTGTGTCGAAATATGATCAGGAGGAAAAAACAGCACACAGACACAATTAATCGTCCACTCCCAGGAAGATATGGAAAATATGGGAATTGGGGGGAAGGCACCCCCCCAGAAAATATAGGAAAATATGGGGAATCCTGTTATCTGTGTGTATTTATTTGTGTGCCCCAGAGCCCCTTCATATGAGTCTGGATCGAAGTTTCAATTTGAGCCTGAACCCTGTTGAAACATCATGGTATTCCTGAGAGTGAGTCTGGGTCTGAATCACGGGGTGGATCTGCTAGTTGGCATTCATGTTCGTGTTGACTTTTGAATTTTCTTCTGAGCCTGAGCACGGGTGAGTGCCAAAGTCCGTGTCTGAGTTTGGATGTCAGTCTGGCGTCTAAATGAGTCTGGGCTTACGTCTTGGTCCGAGCCTCGGTCCGAGCGCGGCTCCAAGCCTCCATATCCATGTCCGAGTCTGTTCCCGAGTCCGAGTGCGAGCCTGCGTCCGAGACCCAAGTTGCACCCGAATTCGGGTCCGAGTCTGAGCAGAGGCAGGAATCGGCGCCCAGGAAATAAGATGCAAGGGGCGGACTTTCTCAAAAGGCTCAGAGAAGGCTTCGGCCTTCTGAGATGCTTTCGAAGCCGCCTTCTCCTCAGACCGCCGCTTTCTGAGAAGGCCTGCCACCACTCACTTCCCCACTCGGATCGCCGCCAAAAGAATCCAAGTGTGGGTGTGAACCTAAGGGCGGATCTCGGCTTGCGTCCGAGTCTGGGTCTCAGCCTGAGGGCGGATTCGAGTCCGGCTCCTTAGGTTCCCTGTTCGCTTCTGGTTCTGGCAGAGTCGGGGTCTCCTGGCTGCAATGATGCCCTAAGAATGAGTCGCCACACCGTGCGCTTCTGTGTGGACAGAAAGGGCCCCCGCATTTTCTAACGATGTATCAGGCTTGAATCCTCAAATGCCCAAATCATGCCATCGTTTCTCATCGGAGGAGGCGGTCGAAGGGATGAGAAGAGAGGATGAGGTGGAGGAGGAGGCGGAGGAGGAGGAGGAGGAGGAGGAGGAGGAGGAGGAGGAGGAGGAGGAGGAGAGGAGGAGGAGGAGAAAATGGAGGAGGAGGAGGAGGAAGAGGAGGAGGATCATGACGAGGCGGAGGCGGAGGAGGGCCTTCCCTGCTCCGCGCTTCTCCCCTCAGCACTCTGTGATTGACGTGATTGACCTGTCGTTGTCGGGAACCTTGGAGACGGTCGAGGACGTGGACACGCCAGCAAGGGCACGTGACAAGGAAACCGCCGCGCTCGCCAGAGGATGAGGAGGATAGCAACATCCACATAGTTCAATCGCAGAGGGGCGTGCTAGACACGCCCACATCTCGTCCAGCGCCCGACCCGTGTGGCCCGTCAGTTCCTCCTTTCCGAACGTTGATGGGGGCAAGGGCACGTGAGGAAGGCGATGGGACAAAGCTGAGCGGGGGTGGGGTGGTCGTGGGTGGGGAGGAGAGAGGGGAGAGGATTAAGCGAGGTAGATGTCTGACATCTACCCCTCCCACCCATCCCTTTACGCTGCGCTGATTGTTCTATGTCCGCCGATGGGTGTCATAGCGGACCGGAACCCCCTCCCAACAATTTTTATCATCGTGTTGTGCGAAGGCAGAAGGAAAGGAAGTACAGTCAACCCGCGTAGTAATGATGAGCGAGTTTCCAAGGATACCTGTGCATCCTTCCCCTTCGGCTCATTTTTGGCTGCTTTTGCTGGCCGCGCCCCGCGCGCAGAGTGTCGACATGGCCTTCCAAGGCCCTTGCATCTTTATCATGCGTCCTTATCATACGGGTTGACTGTATCGGACCTGGACCCCCCTCGCACAACTTCTTTCCATGGTGTAGTGCGCAGGCAGTTGTGGTGCGTCCGTTGTGTGTTTCACTAGATGGCTGGCAGAGCCACTGGGGATGCCCACACAACGCATCTGTCTTCTCCCCCCCTTCCCGTCCATCTCCTGGGTCCTCTGCTCCTCTTTCCCCCTTCTCCTCCTCTGCTCCTCGCCCCCCCCCTGCTCCCATTTTTTGTCATCTTGCCATGTGCAGGCGGACGGCCAGGAAGTACCAGGGCTGGATCTAAACGCTGTTTTGCTAGACTTCGGCTGTCTCTTGTTCTTCGATTTGGGAGGGACGTACAGGAAAACAGGTAGAGCAGAACGAACAACAGCACGAAACCAAGACGAAAAACAACGTTCGGGCTTAGCCCTGGGAGGCACGAGTGGAGAGGAGACGGTCCAGGCGAGGGCACGGGGGAGTGCGGACCCACGGCTTCGTCCTCTGCGCGGGCAGGCCGGCAGCACGGGGCGCCAGCGTGCGGTGCCCGGCGGCGTCTTCCTCCTCCTCCTCCTCCTCCTCCTCCTCCTCCTCCTCCTAGGGTCTCAAGTAACATCTGGGCTCAGACCATTTTGGCAGAGAGCTCAGGTGCCTCTGTGCCTTCACGCGGCACTTGGGGGACAGCGCACGAACGCCCAGCAGGATTGTTCGAGTGCTGACAAAAACAGAGGATTTCAGCAATGGCGACGGCCAGGACCTGGTCGCGGTGTGCAGGGTGCCAGCGTTGCGAGTACAATGATGTGCTGCGGCGGAATGACAACAAGTGTACGCACTGCGGTAAGAAGGTGGTTCCATTTCTGCCGAAGAGGAGTACTTCGCGCGACAGGGGTAAGAGGAAAGTGAGTTTCATGAGTGATGACTCGGGCAGTCCGCTGCAGCCCAAGGGTTTTCTTCGTTCAACCTCTTCTTCCCCTCCTTCGGCAAGTAGCAAGGGCAGCACGCGTGGCAAGGCAGCAGTGACCGAGCACCTCCAGCTCGCGTTGCAAGCCAGCGATGATGCCCAACTGAAGGACAGCCTTCGGAAACAGATTCAACAGTTGGAGAAGGATGCTGCAGGAGACGAGGGTGCAGTCACCCCCGTGGAGGCCCTGCGGCGTGCCGACAGTGCTTTCCGCGATGCCGACCACCGCCATGGGCAGCTGGCGGCGAACGTGGTCAGGTTGCGGACACAGTTGGCGCTGGCAGAGAAGAAGGAAGGCATGGCAGCCCAGGAGGTTGCGCGCGCGCAGGCTGCGCGGCGCGCCGCCACCCAGGCCTTAGCCTACGCCGAGGGCGTGACGGGCCAGGGTGAGACCTCCGAAGGGACCCAGGACAGCACGGCCCCGAAACCGATATTTCAGTGCACCTGGGACAAGGAGTTCTTCGCGAACATCGAGTCCCTCGATTGCGAGCCCGCGGAGAAGGAAGCTCTTCGTACGATCGAGACCGATCTCGAGCAGGCCGCAGGAACCATGGGGACAAAGGAAGCGGAGGTACGCAAGTGGTTAGACCAGTTGCAGCAGCTTCGCAGTGACGTGGAGAAGCGCACGGCCAAGAAGCGACGAGGAGCCGACGGCACAGCAGCTGAAGGCGGCAGTGGCGGTGAGGCCAAACCTCCGACGGCAGCCGCAGGTACCGAGGGCGACGACCCTACGGCGACCCAGGCAGCCAAGGCGGCGCAGGATGCTGCGAACGCCGAGGAGGAGGCCAAGATCGTGGCCGAGGCGCAGCGACTGTCAGCGGCGAAGCTGGAGGCGGCGGCGCAGGCAGCAGTCGCCAAGGGCAAGGGCAAGGACCCTGTCGCCACGGTTTGACTAGCTACGGCAGCGCAGGTGGATATGCAAGGGGCGGACCCCGCCTGTGCTGCCTCGTCGAGTACAGCTGCGGCGGTACCTACAGGGGAGAGTGCTACGACGCGACTCTTTTATTCCGATATCAATTGCATTGGGGAGAAGCCTTGGGCGTGGATCATATCCCAGACCAAGACATACGACCTTTTCGCGACCGCCGAGACTCACGTCCATTCCGAGTCAGTGCAGCGGTCCTACGACAGTTACGACGACCGCATGGCGCAGGCAGTCCATTTCATCGACTTCTCGCTGCTGATAGTGGTCCTCTACGGGTACAGCAACATGGGGTTGCACGGCGCGAACTTCGGGAGGTTCAATCACCTGCTGGGGTTGATGGGGGCGCTGCAGGTGCCCTGGGAGGTCGTGGGCGACTTCAATCTGAGACCAGCGGCCCTCTCGCGCTCAGGCATAGTTGAACGTTTGTCTGCAGAAATTATCTCGGCCGACATTGCAGCAACATGTTATCGCCCAGCCGTTGCCGCCCGAGCCGATAAATTCAATAGCCTGTTCAGTGATTGTTGCGAGCAATCTCAGTGTGCGACCCCCGCCGAGGATGAGGAAGGGGAATTTGCCTCTCCGTCTGCGGGGGATAGGGTGCCTGGTACTGTTAGTTTAGAAATCGATTTTGATGTGTGGCCCGACAAGGAAGACCCCTGGGCTCAGGAGCTCAAATTTTGCTCGGATCTGTCGGTGTGCCAAGTTTTTTCGAATTCGTCGGTTTCTCCTGGGGATCTCACGATGGCTGAGGACGTAGGGCACGGTGGTCCTTGGGTTGTGTCTGGACCTTCGGACTGGATTGGCCACCCCACGTCTTCGTCTGAGCCGCCAGCCTTGGATTCCCAGGAAGCCTCTAGTCAGGATGTGTCACGCGGTGGAGCCTCACCCACTAACCAGGAGTCATCATTTGCCATACCTCCTGAGTTGTGGGATGAATGTCGAAGTGCTGTGGGTCTCGCGCCTGGTGGTCTCTCGCTCGAGTTCCTTGCTCCTGCTTTCCATCAGTCCGTAGCCTTTCGGCTCAAGCCAGCTCACCTGGCAGTGATAGCAGGGTCATTTGCATCATGGATATCGTCTGTTGATCGTTGTATTTCTGATCGTCTCAATGTGCCAGTCCCGCCAGGGCCAACTCGAGCTCAAGGGGCCCGATCCACAGTGCAGACAGGCAAGATGCCAGGGAAAAGCAGGGCCACGCCGTTTCGTGTTTGTATGAGCGCATGGTGGACCCAACTCCACATTCTCTTAAATGTCGTCGTTCTTTATCGCTCCAGAGGGAGTGGAGCCAAGCAGTTGGAACGCTACCTTCAAGCATGTCAACGGCATAGTGAGGATAGGCCAGAGGGGTTGACCAAGACTCTGACCGCCGCCAAGGATCCGCCATGGGATGAGTGGATCGCGATCATCAGGACAGCTGGCACCTGCGTTCTTCCAGGCCTGCAGAGTTATGAGAGTATCTCACGTCGTATCATGAATCGTGCACTGAGAAGAGCAGTCAGCGGAACAATTGCGGAGTCCAAAGAATTCTTCATGCAGGCGGAGTCCCTAGGTACCCCGCACAAGTCTCTTCACGGGCAGGCGCTCCCAGGGTTGGACTGTGAACAGGGCGACCAAGTGCTATATCATCCCAGGGACACCATTAACGCGGAGTCGAAGCACTGGCACTCTCTTTGGCCGCCGTCGGTTCACCAAGTGGCGATGGATGAGGATCTGCCCATGGTCTCGGCCTCAGATGTCCGACGTGCGGTGCGACAGATGAAAGCCAAGGCAGGCGTGGAAGTTGATATGATGTTCCCACGGATTTCGAAAGATTACCTGGCTCGGTCTTGGCAGAATTGGCAACTCTTTTCGAAGCTTGGGAACATTGCGGTTCTCGACCAGATCAAGTTTTACTTATCGGCGGTCGGGTGTTGTGGGAAAAAGTTTTGGGGGATCGAATAATTTGATTAGTGGCAGTGCTGGGGCGAGTATGGAGCATGCTACGAGAACATCTTGTACGCACATGGTCCACGTCCACCGAGCAGGAATGGGAGGCGGCCATACGTGGCAATGCCAGTTTGAGAGAAGCATTCACACGCGTGGTACAGGAGGAAGTATCGCATCAGTTGAAGGTACCTTGTGCAGATAGTTTGATGGGCATCCAGTTGTTTTACGGCCCTATCGAGTGGCCGTGTCGCGCGGGCTATAATGTCAATCTTTCCTTTCCAGCTCGAGTGGTCACTCACCTGCTTGAAGGGGGATGGGGAGTTCAGGAGGCAACGGGGTGGACCATCCCATCGCCTCACCCGCTCGAGGGCGACCAGGGGCGCTCCGACCACAACGCGTACAGCGGCATCGGTGCACTCGACAGGCACGACGGCTTTCTGGCAGATTTCGTTGATGCGCTTCGCTTTCGCTTGGGGGTGGGAGCGGGTCGCCACTATGCAGGAGGAGGTTTGGAACGAGGAGCCGAGTTTTGTCCCTATCGCACCCTTATGGACCGACTCTCGGTAGTCCCAGTGATTGGACATCGACTGGGGGAAGTTAAGGTTTCGTGTGCAGTTGGCGGCGTCTGGCCTCGAGCCAGGCGCAAAGCTGAGATGCCCAAGTATCGT